ACTGTGGTGTAGCGGGAGTAGTCGTCAACGACCACGAGAAACAAACTCTCTCGCTCAGGGCCCGGGCGCGAGGCGGGGCCCCAGACGTCCAAGTGGAGAGTCTCGAAGGGCTAGGTGGCCGGACGAAGGGAGGAGGAGTGAGGGGTGGCGCGCAGCCGACCTTCGACGCAGGGACCGTAGGGTGGCGCAAGGGAAGGCGGCAACAACGGCAAGACACGCGGGAGGCCTAAGACAAGACGCTGACTAGACATAGCGCGCAGGCGAGAAATGGACGGGTGCCCCATCCGGTGGTGCCACAAGACTTTGGGGTGGGCAAGCGACCGGAAGGAGCACGACGTAACAACTGGACCAGACACCGGAACCTAACCAAACACAGCTACCTGGGGAGACGCTGCAACCTGGTGAGACGCGGGAACCTGACGGGGGACAGTGACAGGGGTCTAGGGTAGTAGCTGCTGTTGCTGCTGCTGCTGCTGCTGTCGCTGCGGTGGCTGCTGCTGTCGCTGCGGCGGCTGCTGCTGCTGCCGCTGCTGCTGCCGCTGCTGCTGCTGCTGCTGCCCTCGGGGGCCAGTGTGAAGTGTGTAGAGACCAAAGCCCGGCTCATCGGTAAAGGTGGCTAGAGGCGCGTACGTGTCCGCGTCGACACAAACCGCAGTCTTGCCAGAAGGCTCAATCCTCACGCCCACGTGACTACTCACGAGCAGCCTCAAACCCACCAAGTTCCTGGAGAACGAGGGGACGTGGAAGCCCGTAAGGAAGCCCGAGGGAACTGCTGGGCACGAAAGCGTAGTAGTGTAGCGAGCAGTGACTGGTCCCGAATTGGGATCAGCTAGTGCCACAGAGACCGTCACAGGAAGCGGAGTAAGCGTTGTGTGGTCGCGGAAGAAACAGTGCGAAGCTCCGGACTCCAGAGTGAAAGACAGCGAAGCGTCCTCCGGAGCAGCTCCTGGACTAGTGTCTACACAAGTACCTACACTAGCAACAGGCACCTCAGCAAGACTAGCACCTAAGCTAACAACACTTGTGTCAGAATCCCAACCACTAGACCATTGGGATAAAATGGCTTGTTAAGTAGCGGGTTTGTGCGCCCATAACCCCCCAGGCGAACGCGCCTGTAACCCCCCGTAGGATCAATCGGGCATCCACAGTGCAGATCTACTGACAACTTGAGTAATAGAGTCATAAGAACTAGAGTCAACAACAGCATACATAGCAAGAGGGGTTCCTAAGAGATCAACCAACTGAGAAGCCGACATGCCCCACAAAGCGGGGCCGTACGTTTGAACAAGGGGAAGCCGGCCAGGGTCAGGGCCGTCAACGCTGTAGGCCAACCGAACCGTGTCAGTAAGCTGAGCAAAGCACTGACCCGGTGGGTGGGTGCGGCCACAAGGCTGGCCGTGGCGGGCACCTGTCAGAACGTGATAGGTGAAGGGAGGGTGGACGACACCACGCTGCAGCTTACGATGTCCTGACCCCTGGCCCGAAACCTGCTGCTGCCGCTGTTGTTGCTGTGGCTGCTGCGAGGGGAGGGGCTGTTGATGCTGCTGCTGACGCTGAGTCAGGTACCACGCCGCTGCTCCACCCCATGCGGCTGGCAGACCAGTAGGTGGCTGACGAACCCGGGCGTCACCTCCACCAGCTGCAGCAGGGGAGTCACCGGCCGCTGCACGAGGCGCTCCTCCAACCCCTGCACTCCCGTCGCCACCGCTCGCCACGTCACCCCCACCACCTCCGTCGCCTCCGCTCGCACCCTGACCGCCCCTCCTGCCAATCCTACCCTGAGACCACGAAGAAGTCGTAACAGCAGCTGCGGTCACGTCAGTAGCGGCAGTGGCGAGGGAGGCGGTAAAGGTGGGCAGCTAAGGGACAGTGTACCCGTGGAACAGTGGAGGGGGCACAGCACCAGAGGCAGAGGCTACCGAGCGGAGGTTGCTCTCGACGTCCTTGAGGGCCGACTCAAGGAGCTCGATAGTGAGCTTGCTAGGGTGCTTCAGAAGAAGCGCGTCACGAAGCGAGGCAAGGCGGTCAGGGAGGCTAGTGGCGATGAAATAGATAGTAATCGCCATGGGGGGAGGGACCAGTGCAAGCTGTGCGTCAGTGCAAGCAGCGCGGTAGCTAGAATCGAGCGAGCGCATATGAGTGATCAAGTCAGCAGTGCGCTCAAACGAGGCGAGGTCAGGAAACAGGAACGGAAGGAACAGGCGACCAAGAGAGACAGTGGTGGGAGTCACGTAGCGGGCCTTGATCGCAGTCAGGAACTCACTAGCCGTGCAAACCTGAGTGAAGTGGGTCTCCTCAGACTAAGGGAGGAGGCTGCTGAGGGCGATGTAGGCCGCAGCATCACGCGACTTCCACGCTGTCACGTCAGCACGCCCGCGTGCATAACGGTCACTGTCTGCAGGTGTGGGGTCAGTTGCTAAGGGTGTAGGGTCAGCGGGCTCAGGTAGGTAACCGGAAGCGTGCGCCCACAGAGTCTCGTTTGCCTGAACCTGGCTCTCTAGGAGGCGGCGCGCACGCAGGAGCCAGACCGAGAACTCGAGCGGCCTACCCTCAGCGTCAAAGCGCGGGACCCTGGGGGTCGCCATAGCGGAAGCGTAGAGGTGGATACTACTGCTACCGAAACCCTAAATGGCTAAAGGGCCTGCATAGGGTGTGACAGAAAGTGCGACGCAACGGGAAAGGACGCGACTGGCAGGGACGGGCGCGACAGGCGCGGACAGGCAGGGCGCACGGGGCGCGACAGATGGGCAGGGCGCAGCGGGGGCGCGACGGACGGGCAGGGCGCACGGGGCGCGACGGACGGGCAGGGCGCACGGGGCACGACGGACGGGCAGGGCGCACAGGGCGCGTGCGACGGGACGGGACGGGAAGCGCGACGCGGACGGGACGGGACGGATGGCGCGACGCGGCGGGACAGAAAGGACAGGCGCAACACGACGGGACAGCAGGGGGCGACGCGACGGGACAGCAGGGGCGACGCGACGGCAGGGGCGACGGGACAGGACACCAGGGGCGATGGGACGGGACAACAGGGGCGACGGGACTGCAGGGGCGACAGGACGGGACAGGACAGCAGGGGCGACGCGACGGCAGAGGCGACGGGACGGGACAGCAGGGGCGACGGGATGGGATGGGACAGCAGGGGCGACGCGACGGCAGGCGCAACGGGCGCTAGGGCACGAGAGAGACGAGCGAGATAGGCGCTAAGGGACAGTACGGGCGTAACGGGCACTAGAATACGGGACAGGCTCGGGCGCTACGGACGTGAACGAGAGGAGGATCCCACAGGATCCTAACCTAGGTGATACCATGTCAAGAATGAAAGTGTTGGTTTGACTAAGGTTGGTTGGGGTACATAAACCTAACCCTAATAGTTGTACCCCCTATAACACAGATCACTAAGACTACAACATTTGACAAGAGTTAACTATGTGACAAAGTCATGTTTACCACGACGATTCCGCGGGCTTCGGAGCAATAGGCACAGATCAACAACCAAGTATGACTGTACTGGGCCTTGCATGTTCTACGTGCTTTCATGTCAAGGTTAGGGTGCGTTCTTGGCTGGTGTCAAGAATCTTGACACCAAGCTCTGAAAGGTTGGGATTTTAGTGGATTTTGACGATGATGACTTGGAATGATCAAAATCGTCCATTAGCCTTGTGTCTGCGAGCCTGACACCAGCCAAGAACGCACCCTTAGTATCAGGGTTTTTTTTATTGGAGTATTTTTTTTCGGTTTCTCTGAAAATCAGAGTGATTTTTGGGGGGTCACTCTGACGTTTCTGGGTAAAAAGTTAGGAAGATAAGTTTTCTATGATTTGCAAGGGTTTTGATTTTAGCTGCTCTGATAGTCCAGTGTAAATTTCTGGCGAATGCATTTTTCTCTGTATATGGTACAGGCATTTCGACAGAGCCCCGCTCTGAATTGGTGGAAAATGGCTAGCAAATTTACTGATACATCATAATTTGGTCCCTTTCACAAATACTGAGCGAGTAGCATAAAGGTGACAATTATGTGGTCTACCTCCCTTCACCACCTCCCCTTTCCTATAACTTGTACTCCTAATGTTAGTGCATCCCTTTTCTCTTGGCCAACTCTCTCTTCCCAAAACCCTAGCCTCCTAAGCTACTATATTGACAATGCTGCACGTTTTGCAATAGGTAATGGTAGTCGTACAATAACTGAAATTACAGTACAAAGAATAGCCGCTATGTAACAACGGTACATCAAAGGAACTGGCTAGAGGCTGTTGAAGCCCTACTTGGAACTACGGAATCACTGGATTATTGCATGCTCCAAAAGAACGCGAGTTATCTCTCCCACGTCAACAGTACCGAGCAACTCTAACGGAGCATTCAATAAAGGAATGATCGCACTCCCCGCAGCAGTAGTGGGGGATACACTCGGCGATGATGCAACAGCCTCCAACACACCACCAACTGCAGGAGAAGAAGCAGCAGCAGCAGACGCAGAAGCAGCAACATCTGTTGCCGCTCCCACCGCCGCTGCCACCACCGATGCTCCAGCCGTCGCCGCTGCTGCTGCTGCCGCTCCAGCAGCTCCTGCTGCTTCAGCCATCCCCACCACACCCACTCCCATTGCAGCAACTGCAGCTGCCACACCCTCCAACGCCCCTGCTGCCGCATCTGGCACGTGAGCAATCCTGGTTGCAGCGTCAGCAGCAGTATCGGCTGCAGAGCCGACAGCAGCAGCAGCAGATGCCGCGACTACATCTCCCACCACAGCCGTTGCTGTCGTTGCTGCTGATGCTGCTCCTTCCACAGCATGCATAACGCCTGCTGCTGCAACAGCCGCAACAGAGGCTATGTCTCCGAGTCCCCCGGCTCCTCCCCCCACTCCTCCAGCTGGAACAGGAACAGCAGCAGAAGCGGCAGAGGCAGCAGAAGAAGCAGCTGCAGAAGTTGATGCAGCAGGGGATGCAGCAGAGGAAGCAGCAGCAGAGGCAGCAGACAATAGGGCAGATGAGGCATGCAGCTTCACTGTGAGAGCATCAGCACCAGCCGAATGGGGAGGGACAAGGGAAGCATGAGCAGCAATCTTGGATACAGAACTGGCCGTGTGTGAGAGTGGGTCCACGGGGGAAGAGAGCAGGGAATGCGCTGTGGTATCAGCCGGTGCAGAGGTAGCGGCAGGGGTAGCAGTGGCAGCGGCAGCAGGGGTGCTGGTGGCGGCAGCAGCGGCGGTGGTGGTGGTAGTGGTGGCTGGTGATGCTGCTGCTGTCACACCGCTCTGCATCCCTGCACTCGCCCCCGCCCCTTCTCCTGCTTGCATCGACCCAGGCATGAGCACCGGGGGAGTGGTGAGAGCAGGGGGAGTGGTGGGAGTAGAGACCGAAGTGACAGGAGCAGCGGGAGCAGCAGGAGTGGTGGGAATGGTGGGAGTTAATCCGTCCGCTGCAGCGATAGTTGCCGACGACGGAGCACCCACAGGCAGGGGAGGAGGCGGAGGAGGAGAGCCCGTGGTCCCAGCAGCAGGAGCAGTAGGAGGAGTCAGAGCAGCAGGAGGGGGAGTAGCAGCAGCAGCAGGAGGGGGAGTAGCAGCAGCAGCAGGAGGAGGAGGAGTAGGAGTGGTGAAACTGGCGGACACAGTGGCATCTGGAACAGGGACTGTGGCAGGGGCTGAGGTGGCAGTGGTGGTGGTGGTGGTGGTGGCAGGGAGAGGAGCTGAAGCGGCTGCGGTGGCAGCTGCGTTGACGTGCGTCTCTGGTGTGGTCATGGGCTGGAGCAAGGTGGAGGTGGAGGAGGAGGAGAGGGAGGATGAAGAGGAGGCGAAACCAGAGACAGCACACATGCCTCCTCCTCCTCCTGCTCCTGCTCCTGCACCGTCGGCAGTAATAACAGCACCCGCACCAGCAGGACCAGCAGCACCAGCAGCGCCAGCAGAACCGCTAGCAGAAGCAGCAGCAGAACCTGTAGCACCAGTGCCAGCACCAGCAGCACCGGCAACACCAGCCGTTGCACCAGCAGTGGCGGCACCAGGAGCGCTTGCACCAGCAGGTGTGACTGCGTGCAGAGCTTCAAGGCTCCCCGCAGAGTGAGGGGCAGATGACGAGACACCAGCAGCGGCGTTCGTAGCAGCAGTCGCACTTCCACCAGTGGGAGTGGTAGCAGTCGTAGCATTGGCAGCCGTAGTGGTGGCACTGGCAGTGGCAGTGGTATTAGCATGCTTGGCAGCGGAACTGGGAACAGAAGTCAAGACACGACTTGTTGGGACAGGGTTATGAGATACACTGAGAGACGAAGCAGATGGGTGTGAACCAGAAGCCAAGCCAGTCAATGCAGACGGGGAGGAAGAGGAGGAGGAGGAGAAGGAAGCAGGGGAAGTGGACAGGGCAGGAGGAGCAGGGCCTTTAGCAGCGATCCCTTTCCAACCGGCACCTCCAGCAGCAGCAGAAGCAGCAGCAGCAGTAGAGGCCCCTGGGGATGGCAGCGCTGCAAGTGACGGAAAGGAGGTAACAGCAGACAAGGCAGAAGGGGCGGAGGAGGCAGAGGAGGAGAACGGGGAGAAGGAATGGAGAGAGGGGAAGGAGGGCAGGGAAGGGAGGTTGGGAAGCGAGGGGAACGCGAGAGCGAGAGTCTTGGTGGCTCCAAGCTTGGCCTTGAGTTTCAGCAGCACGTGTTTCGCTTGGGCTGCATAGAACGGGAACTTGAGCTGCGATGTTAGCAGCGCTGCTGATAGCTGCTCACTCTTCTCCGCTCCCTTCTCCCCACCCTCCTCTTCAACGCTCCCCTCCTCCCCCTCCTCCTCCACTTCCTCGTCCCCTGCGTCCTCCCACTCCTCAACCTCCTCCTCCCTTTCCTGCTCACTGTCCTCTTTGTCTTGAGACTCTTTCACCAGCTCTATAGCCACCTCGGAGGCACCTCTGCTTCGGGACAGGATTGAATCCCATGCCTTCTTCCATTTCAATCCAGCTGCCTTCCCGCCAACCTCTTTCTCTCCCCTCTCTCCTTTCTCTCCTTTCTCTCTCTCCGCCTCTTCCAACTTCTGCGTTCCCTCCTCCCCTGCTCCGTCCACCACACCACCCTCTCCCATCCCCTCTCTCTTCTCCTCACCCCTCCCCTCACTCTCCCCCACCCTTCTCTCCCCTTCCACCAGCATTCCCCGAGCCACCAGACTCACCAGCACAATCATCCCCCCTCCCACGGCAGTCGAAAACCCGGGCACCTCGCCACGGGCAGCGAAAGAAAAAAGCGCTCCCCAGAGGGGAATAGTCGTGTAGACCAGCATGGCAACAGACGCAGGGACCTTGCGTAGACCACATAGCTCCAGCCATGCACAGAGGCCGGAACCCACAGCACCACCGTATATCAGCGGAAGCCATGGTAGCCGCTGCAGCTGCTCCAAAAGCTCTGCCACTCCCTCCGCTGCTGCTGCCGTGCTGAACCCTCCAACAGCAGCAGCGGCAGCAGCAACAGCAGAAGCAGAATCAGTGGAAGCGAGAGCATGGGCGTGCGAGCCCCCTCCTGTAGCCACGTGCACCGCCTCCCAAGCCACTCCCAGCAGCGCCAGGGATCCTGCCTGAACCGCCGAGAGGCGCAGCGGGTCAAAGCGGGCAGTCAGAGCTTCAGAGCGGAAGATCTGCAGCCCTGCTATGAGCGAACTCCCCATGGTTGCTAGGTCGATGGAGGGGAGCGCGGGGAGCGAGTGAAGTGAGGGGAGGGATGGGAAGGGGATAAGCCCTCCGGTGACTGCCGAGGAGGAGACGGAAGCGAGGGAGGAAGAGGCGGAGGCGGGGAGGGCGGGGAGGGGAGAGGCGGCGGATGCGAGGGTCTGCTCGTTGAGAACGCCCATGGCTACGAGGGCAGCGAGCACGGCGAGGAGCGCGGAGCGGGGGAGGGAGCGGCCGGTGCAGAGATGCATCAGCGGCAGGAAGAGGATCTGGTGGGTGAGGACGGTGGGTGGTTGCAGAGGGCGGAGAGCAGAGGAAGGAGAGGAGACAGAGTAAGGCAGAGATCGTCTCACAGAGCGGAACAAGCAGAAGAAGCAGCGGACGGATACACGAGAGGCAAGGACGAAGCAAGGCTTTGGGACGCGCCAAAGGAGCAACAGTCGTATTTTGAAGACATACGGAGAAGCTGTAGAGCATGACAGCACTGGCACTGCTGCTGTCGGAGCTTGCGTGTGCCAGCAGCACAGAGCTGAGGAAACTCCACCCGGCCAGCTCCGCCCCTCCCCAGATCAACCCGTCCTTCCACCATGCCTCCTCGCCTGCCTCTTTCTCCTCCTCTCCCGCCTGGCCCTCCTTCTGCTTCGCCTCTTTGTTCCCCAGTTTAGTGGAGGCAAGGACAGGAGCGAACGCCACCGCTGCAGCAAGAGGAACAGGAGAAGATGAAGCATAGGAGAGGGAGGGTAAGAGAGAGGCAAGGAACGAAGCAGCAGCAGGAGGAGCTGAAATAAAGCAGAAACACTGAATCAGAAACAGACACGAGGCCTCCGTCACAAGCCATAACACAAGATGCCGTGCGCGGGTGACAGGACTCTCACCAGCAGCAATGAAGCGCACAGAAGCCGTGAGAGATGCGGGCATGTCCTGCGCCTGGCTATCCGCCATCTTAGACGCCACACTGCACGTCCCATACAGCGCTGCCAGCACGTTCAGTAACACCACCCCTCCTATCACCGCCCCTCCTGCCCCTGGTGCTGGTGCTCCTGCTCCTGCTCCTGCTGCTGCTCCAGGGACCGACACAGCTGCAGACTCAGCCGAGACTGCTCCCCGGGTGCTGTCACTGTTGCTGCCGCCGCTCTTCCCGCCCACCACCCCCTTTTGTGTCCGCTGCGTCTCCTCCAAGCCCAGCCTTAACCCCCGTGCAGCTTCTGCTGAACGGTGGGCAGGCCGAGCGCGCAGCAGCAGCGCGGAAACGTCCAGGGGGAACGGCGCGGGGAGGTCCGGGAAGCGCTCCGCGCCCACCTCCGCGCGCATGCTCCGGTGCAGCGCCTCAAAGCGCGCCTTCCACTCGTTGAACAGCACGCTGGCCCCGGTGCTCTCCACGCTCCCCCTGCTGCCTCGCTGTGGCGGTTCCGCACGCGAGTAGGAAGACGAGGAGGAGGAGGGCGAAAAGGAGGAGGGCGTGGCTGCGCCAGCTGGCGGGGGAGCATGCACGGTCCAGATGACTCTGCTCGACGCGCGCTCCCCGGAAGGTACACGATCCGTGGCCCCTCGTTGCGCGCTTCTCCAGAACAGCAAGTCCCCGAAGCGCTTTTCTAACGAAGAATTCTCCTCGCTGCCCGATCCACCCTCCTTTGCTGTCGTCTCCTTCGCCATACTACCGTTCTTCTCTTTCTCCTTATCTTTCTCCTTTTCTTCATCACGACCTTTCCCTTTCTCTTTCTCTTTCTCCTTCTTCTTCCATGCCTCCAATTGCGGCTGTTCCGAGTCGAGAACAAACGCGCCTCGCCGTGCAGAGGCGGCAGCAACCACGCCGCGCCGGGCTCGGCTAAACGCGCCGCTCCTCCTCCGCCTACTCTTCCTCCCGCCGGCCCCGCTGCTCACGGCGCCCCCTGCGCCTGCGCTTCCGCGCCCCTCCCGCCAATCCTCCCCCGCGCCAGCCTCACCAGCGCCGTCCCCGCAGGGCTTCGATCCGTCCTCGGGTCCGCCTCCGCCCCCGCCGCAGATCGAGTTGCTGGCGGCGGCGCATCCGCGCTCCAAGTCCATGCTTGAAACGAACCGCGAGAGCGCGACGGCGAGCGTGACGTTACTTGACGAGCGCAGGCCGGCGGCGGCGCGGACTAACCAGCGGCGCGACCGCTTCCGCCCGCGGCTGAAACCGTTGATCGGCGCAATCGTCGGCGCGAGGTGGTGTTGGCGCGTGCTCTGCACGATCCCGCCTTGGAGAAACAGCGAGTTTTCCGCCCAAGGAGCAGTTGCAGGTGCGGCGGCGACGTCCAGACTCCGGCGGCCGCCGCCGCTGCTACCGCTGGCGGAGCTGCTGCTGCGCCTGAAGCTGCTGCTGCGGCGGCCTGTGCTTCCGCAGCTACCAGAGGCTCCGCCGATTCCGGGCTCGCCGCCGCTTCCGTCAGTTGCGCAACACGCGGTTCTGCGATATAGACGGTACACTCGTGACTCCTGCTGCGGCTGCTGGTGGTTAATCTTACGATCTTGTCGTGTCGGGAAAGTTCTGATCGCCGAGAGTCCACCGAACGCGGAGGACCAGCTGACATCGTGGCGCGACTCCGAGACGCGAGATTGATGGTAGTATCGCGGAGCGGGAAGCGCGATCGTCGGGGCCTTTGCGCCCACTCGCCATCCGCCAATCGAGGCGACGGAAGCCGCGAATTTACTCCGTCTCCCAACGCCTGATGTTCTATGACAAGGAGTAGTCGTAGCGGTAGTAGTGCTGGTAGTAGTAACCACGGTCACATTCTTCTGTGACGCCAAGTTACCTCCTGGACGGGAGCTGATCGCACCGCCGACGGGTGCGCGGACGGCCTCTTGGGACCACTGAGACATACTGGTGGTGGTTGCGGTGACGGATCGGAGCGTGATTTGCGGCGATGAGTGCGGCGAGAGATTGCGAATTGAGATGCGGCACGGGGTGGAGACGTGGATGGGAACGCGAACGGAAGATGACCGCGTTGCGGCGGAGATGACGTGGGAATTCGGTCGCGGGTCGAACCCTCTGAATTGGCCGCTACTCGTGGTTATTCCGACGGCGGAACGGGATGATTGTTTGCGGGCAATATGAACTGGAGGAAGGTTGGCGGAGGCCGCGAGAGGAAGGCGGAGGTGCATGGGACGGATGAGCGGAATGAGCGGACTCCGCTTGGAAGGGCGGGAATCTGCGGGGACGTTGGACAAGAGAGATCGAACTACCACTCAGAGACCACTCGTTCGAAACGATATGGGAGGCGAAAATCCGGTGGTTTCGTGATAGAGATTCTGATTAATGGCGTTGGTTCCGTCGCGTACACTTTATGCTACAAAAGCTCGATTGGTGCAACACGAGTGGAAGGCTGTAATACTTTGGCGTATATCGTGCTTAGGCGAGGGATATACTCGGAGATCTATACAGAACTTCGAAAAGCCACGGCTTTGTAGTGAGGGTGTTCTCGTGAGAGAATGAAGAGCGTTCACTTGAAGGCGACAGACGGGCTGTTGTTGAGGCGACTGTGGTGTAGGTTGCGGCGCGGCGCGATGTGCGAATAATAAGATGCTCGTGGGGAGGCCTATGGAAGCATCCCTTGCACTGTCGTTATGTTGCGTGTTGCGCAGTGCAAGCGATGCAAAATCAGCTTACACCACCAAACTACCGCGTCCGCCCCCATTTCACGAAATCAAACAGCCACAGGCGTGACATTCTCAATGCGCGCTTCGGGGCCCTGTCACATTGGCTGTACGCTGCGCTCCGCGCTTTCCCTAAAAACCAGAAGGACGACTCGGTCGGTGATTCGCACTTTTCTGGGCCGATTGTTGGCCCAACGTGGACCGAAATGTCGCAGAGTCATCGTTGTCGCTCCTATTGGTCAACGAAGGTGATTGTGGTATCTGGTGTGATGCGATTGGTGGAGAGCGGTTGTATCAGAAAGACCGGCCCCTGCGGGGATCGTGGAAGCTGTTTTTTTTTTTTTGCTTCTCATTCCGGAACATACTATCTATCTTAAATGGTTTGATCCGTGGATAACAGTTTGATCTCTACTCTGTTATATATTGTTTCATCCACGCAATGAAGGGTTTACGGACAAAGTGCTAGAAAGCAGGTGCCAGGGGCAAAACAAAATCATGCTCTGAATGATGGAGGTGACGGCTAGGATACACACAATGCTCCCCCTCATTCGAACGGCCGACCAACAACTGGAGCGTCCCCTTGCCGCCATCAGCCGCGCGACAACAAACAAGCGTGGGCAAGTGCACCCAAGTGCCGCCGCGTCGAATGTTCCAATCGAACCAGCGAAAGGCCTCCCTCCACTCTCCCCCCATCCCTCATTCTGTGAGAATCTAGAGGTTCATGTCCTCCAAAAACAGAACAAAGGACGTGGAATAGCAGATCCACCAGACAGCTGGCACGGGTGCCAGAACGCACTTGGTCGGCATTGGTGACGACCCTGAGATGGTCGCAGAAAAAGGTCCAGCGCGCCAAGCCAGCGTAATTTTCTCGAGCAATTTCCGCGTCATCATACGTGGTAATGACCTAGCAAAGGCAACCGCGGCCTTGTGATGGCGTGGAAAGTTTAAACCACAAAGGAGGGAAGTATTCACCGTGATCGGCGGGATCGTGGGACATCCAAGCCACACGTCCCGTCCATGCTTGCAATTCACGACAGCATCAATGTTGCGCTGGCGCGTGTTTCAAGTGGCGTTTGCTGACAGACACACCCCTCACACACTCCAGTCCAGCCGAAGAACTACGTACCCCGTAAACGCTGACACAATGGCAGATAACGCTATGCTCCTCTGAACAGTTAATTCAAAGTTCCAACTAGCAAAATACGAATGCAATTCTGAGCCAAGCCATTTTACAAAGATAACGTTAAGAAAAAACGTACACCATGACACAAGTGTTGGGTTGAGGAATAGCCCTAAGGATCTTTCAAGGCTAAGATCTTGTTAAAGCAGGAATGTTGTAGTTTGCGGAAGCGTAATAATAGGAATACTTGAACCACCTTGCACTCGTGTGTGAGAACTGTTAGAATTTGAGATGATTGAATAGGATCGTAATACTTAGGATGGTAGCTTCCTGTCGTAGCGGAAGTCTTGTATGAATTAAAGCCAGTTAAGGAGGCTTTGTCTGGACTAGTGAAAGCCCATGTAGTGATATGTTTCAGGATCAATGTCTCTGAAATCAGATATATTTAAAAATAACAAACATACAAAATATATAGCTAGAGTAAAGTACCTGTTCGTCTACTGTGCTGTGCTATTCTTGTTCTGAAACGGTACGTGACTTTTCGCGAGGCCTATAGCTACGTGCTGATGTCATCCTAGGGCGCGTAGCGCTTTGCTGACGTCAGCCTATCGGTACTTTACTGTTTCGTGCGAAGTCTCGCACTGTACTACACGAATCCTTGAAGTGCTTAAGTCTTCATATTATCTCAACACTCCTCTTCACTTCTAGGAGTTCCGTGTAGTTACTCGGTTGTCTCAGAAACGCCGCTGAGCTGGTTGCAGTGGTGAAACTTCTGTCGTGTCAGTTTCTTGGTAAGTGAGTCAGCTGCCATGTCACCAGTCGGACAGTAGACAAGGCGCATTCTCCCCTTGTCGATCGCATCCTTGACGAAGAAGTAACGCAGTGAAATATGTTTCGTGCGATTGACGAAGCCGGGTTTGTTGGCGATGGTAATCGCACTCTGGTTGGCGCACTGCAACGTGAACTTTGCTTCGTCGAGCAGTTCCTGTAAGTATAGTCCTTCTCGAGTTGCAGCACACGCAGCAATGAATTCTGCTTCAACCGAGGAAAGTGACACGAGTTCTTGTTTCGATGAGTTCCACGAGATCGGGCCAATTGGCTCGAGACGAAAAATGTAGCCTGTTCGTGACCGACGATCTGACGTGTCACCAGCGTGATCTGCGTCAACATATTCGCTGAGGTACATTTTGTCGGTCGGTTTTCCTGTGTTGAAAATCAGCCCGACTGTTGGTGTTGCGACAAATTAGTGTAGAGCGCGCTGAAGATCGAGATGGTGTTCTTCTTTTGGGCAGCGTAAAAATTGTGCAAGATAGCTTGCGACGTACGCAAGGTCGGGACGACACGTGACTACTGCGAAGAGAAGGCACCCAAGTTGCTGTTGGTACAGTTGTAGACCAGCTGCCGAAAGTTTGGTGTTGTTTAGGATGTGCCCGTTGGGTGTAGACCGATATGGTGTAGCGACGTAATCTGTAGAAATCTTGAAACGCTTAGCGAGTGACTCAGCATACTTCGATGTTGTGAGGTGAATGGCGGAGGAGGTTCGTGAAATGTTTGACCCAAGAAATTGGGTTACTTCGGTGGAGACGGTTAAGTCGAGGGATTTCTTCAGATATGCTTCGATGCGATCACCCAAGGAAGCCGAAGAACTGACGTAGAGAATGTCATCCACATATGCCACGAGCAGCGCGTAGCTCCCCTTGTCGTCTAGCCGATACATCTCGGGGTCATGCTGTCAAACATATATATACTATAGTCTATTTAGGCTGTAGTGGGGTAGTTCTTAGAGGGTACAACACTTTTGTGTTTTCTACTTGTACCCATCTCATTTCTAGTTCATTCATTCTTTCGTCAATTCTCTCACATGGTATAGAGCTAGTTTCGAGTTTTTCTTAAAAAGGGCCCACCACTGAAATTTTTTCTTACCTGCTCGACGCGCGCGAGGCCCGTAGCGGCCCCTGCGCCTGCCCTTAGAGCCAGCGCCGGCCCCGTAAGGCCTCGTAAGGCCCCGTAAGGCCCCGTTTACGGCCCCGTTTAAGGCCCCGTAAGGCCCCGTAAGGCCCCGTTCACGGCCCCGTTTAAGGCCCCGTAAGGCCCCGTAAGGCCCCGTTTACGGCCCCGTTTAAGGCCCCGTAAGGCCCCGTAAGGCCCCGTAAGGCCCCGTAAGGCCCCGTACGGCCCCGTAAGGCCCCGTTTACGGCCCCGTTTAAGGCCCCGTACGGCCCCGTAAGGCCCCGTAATGCCCCGTAAGGCCCCGTTTACGGCCCCGTTTAAGGCCTCGTAAGGCCCCGTAAGGCCCTGTAAGGCCCCGCCA